CAAAAGAGAGACCCAGTTTTTACACACAAGACACATCAGACCACAAGTGAGATTAGCAATCGTTTTCACTTGTGCTACTGAAAGCAAATGGCCTGATATAATTTTTACTATTTAATCTTAAGGTGAGTTTCACAATCCATTGGAATAAGACTTTAGGATAGCAAACCACAGCGTAGCATACAGAGCTTCTCCTTCAAAAGACAAAAGACATCGAAATCCCCTAGAGCGAAGTATTGTACTTTAGAAAGTCTAAGAGCTCGATCGAGTGCATCCGCAGTTATTTTTTGCACCTATTCATACCTGAGCCTCTTTTTAACCTTCTTCTGGCCAGTTTAATTTGATCCTGTAGAATCTGCACCCAGTCTCTGGGGCCAGGAAGTTTATCCACATGGTTAGCTGTACAGTACTTTTCTGTGAAGACTGAAAGAAAACGTGAAACATTGTTAAATACTTCAACAAATAAAATATGCAGATCTGAAATGGGAATATATCCCAAAAAGAAAAAAAAAGTGTGTTTCTAAAGGATGTGAGTTCTGCATGGCGCATCTTCAATGTCCTTATTATACTCCTTTGGCAAAGATGCAGCCCTGGCTACCTCCAAAGTGGTGTGCTTCACCGTGAAACTGGCTACAAATGCTAAGTACGTATTAACAATTCATATGGAAGCTGCTCTTTCTACTTCCGTGTGTGCGTCTTACAAGCAGAGCAGAAAACGCTTCCTAAGGGTCCACTGGCCCCATGACAAGGGTCAAGAAATGTATTAAAAGATTTCACTTTTTTGTTGGCGATTCAAAATCAAATGCAAAATTACACAAAAGGTGATGTCCTCAAGGCGGTTCCTATCTATTATTTATTTTCGGCACCCAACCAGTACATTAGTGCAGTTGGTGTCATAATGGAAGTTCCAGATCTATTTTGAGTCAACCCCTTGCGTGCTGCACCAGCTCCTGGGAAAGAGGTACCCTGTTAAGCACAAAAGAAACTATGGAGGAGCTTAGGACAGAACAAAAGGAAGGCAGAACAATTGTCTTAGGAAAGTGCGCACAGCGTGTGACCGCACGTAAGGTGCTGCTGTTGACATTTCTGCTCGTTCCTGAGCACTTTTTAAATCGCCTTTTCAACTTGCTCTCCGTAAGGTCAAGATCTAGCATGTAGTCACACCACACTGCCTCTTTGGTATTTAAAATATTGGTGATTTTAATGTTCTAAAAGGTTTCTTAAAAAGAAATGGCAAAGGAAAATACTGACAGATTCAACTACAGAAACGTGTAAAATTTCTGTTGAATGAAAAATAAACATTAGAATGAGAAAAGATAGTTGCATTAAATAGGACCAAAAAAGTCGAATATCTACCACCGGGCAAAAAGCTTATTCGAAAGTCCCCATAGATAGATGGGCAAAGCATACTTAGCAAAAAACATTAGGAAAAATGTTAAACTACTATGTAAACCAAAGAACTGCAAAATATACTGTATTCCTATGAAGTTAGAAAAACGTTACAAAGCTAATACATGATATTGCTAAATACATACAGACATTACTGTTGGCACCACGAGGCAAAACTCTTGGGAAATAGGAGCACTACGTGACGAGAGACCAGAAACTGTCATACCTTGCACCGGTAATCCTACCCCTAGAAATTTATCCCAAGAAAATAATTTGAAAGAAGGAAAGAAGCCATATATGTGATCTCTGCTATCAACCAAATGTGAACAATCTAATTGTGCAAGAAAAGATAAATGCCATTAACAGAGGTGGACAGATTTGAGGGGGCCAGAGGGGAAGCAGGGGGCTCCCCTTTAGGAAGCTATTACAACAGTCTGAGTTAACGAAGTATCTAGAGCCTCTCAAATAACTGGCATGTTTTGGTTAATCACGTGATATGGTAAGTAGAGAAGAAAGGGAAAGTGTGTGAGCTGAAAGGCAGGACATAGCAGGCTTGATGTGGAGCATGCTGAGCTTGGGGTGTCCGTGAGTACCTGCGTGGAGGTGACTAGCAGATACAGTCAGCCCTCGGTGTCCAAGGGGGACTGGTTCCAGGACCCCCAGCTGATGCCAAAATTCTCGAGTGCCCAAGTCCCTGATGTAAAATGGGGTAGTATTTGCATATAACCTACGCACATCCTCCGTGTACCTTAAATCATCTCTAGGTTACTTATAATACCTAACATAATGTAAATGCTATGTAAATAGTTATTATGGTATTTTTATTTTTTAATTGTTGTATTGTTATTTCTCATTGTTTTCTTTCTTTCTTTTTTTTTAAATATTTTCCATCTGCACTTGGTTGAATCCGTGGACGTGGAACCTGAGGAAACGGAGGGCCAAATGCATTTAGACAGAGAAGGCTACAGTTCAGGGAAGGGGCCAGGCTGAGGATACTGGGTTGAAAGGCACAAACACGTATGTTGTCACTAAAACAACAAGAGAAGAAACATTAAGTACAGAGAACACAGAGTGAAAAGAGCCCTGGGTCCAGCCAGGAACAGAAAAGAACACCCGTGCTGAGAAAAAGAAGGCAGAGGTGGCCGTGCAGGAGCCAGAGGGGACTGTCCTGCCAGACAGTCAGGAGAAGCAGGAAGAGTGACCTTGTAAAGGCCACCAAGCGGTCTGAGCGGCAGAAGGCGGCTTGGGACATGCCCACTGATGGTCAGTGAGGCCTGGGGAGGGCGGCCACAGACAACACCCCCAGGACACCTGGCCCAGAGGGGAACAGCCGAAGGACGAGGGCTCAAGCCACCGCAGTGCTTGAGGAGCAGCAGTGTGGCAGGATGACACAGGACATGGGGAAGGAGGAGAAAGGAAGCCTGCTGGGGGGCTGATGGCTGCCTCCACAGGAGGGAAATGCCCTCCTACCCGCAGCTCCCGTTTGGGACGCAGGATGGTAGGGCTGGTCCAGGCTCGGGACTTTGCTGGACAATTCTGGCAGAAGAACAGGGATATGAAGCACCTGAAGATGTCGGCGAAGGTGTCGCCTACAACGAATCACTCAGCTTTCCACTACCTCCCCTCTTTGCCACCCCCAAGATCTGGGAAGGAAGCAAAGCCAGAAAAAGGCTTGTGGACTTGGAGACATATAGAGATGGGGGAATGGAGACAGCAGTGGGGTTGGCTGGCGGGGGCCGCGGAGCTGGAAGAACTGTCCCGAGACCCTGGAGCGTACAACACAGCAGCAGCAGCAGCGGGGTTCGTGCGTGAGAACGCCCGGTGCGGCGGGCAGTGCAGGCTGGGTTGTAGAGAGGCGGATGTCACCGTGGATGAGGCCCCGACACCATGTGGCCAGGCGGTCAAATGACTCTTTGGTGTGGATAGTGACGTTATCAGGATGACAGCAGGACCTGGGAGCAGACGAGACAGTACAGCCGTGATAAGAGCCTTGGTAGAGATGTCCCATCACAGCCCGGGCTGAGCAGGGGTGACGGTCAGGAAGCAGAATTATGACAAGGAGCACGTCAGCCAGGCAGAGATGGGCCCAGGGCAGAAGCAGCCCCCACCTGGGAGAGACGTGGAAGAGAGGAGAGCCACGTTCCTGGGGGGTGGGCGTGCTTTTAAATCTGACATCAGGTTATAAATACCTTCAGGGTATTCATTTCTTTTGTCTCCCTCAGAGCACCTATTATCAGAGTGCCTTGTTCTGAATAAGAACTCAATAAACATTCAATAAATAAACCTATTTTCTAGTTTTGTTTCTAATGGAAGCAAAGACAGTAGCTCACCTTAGACTAACTGGGGAAAATGGTCTCTCTGCATTAGTAGGAAGTCTTAATTAATAGGATGTATTTAAAGAAACAAGGCCTTATTACACTCAAATGCCCATAATAATGTTTACCAATCAAAGAACTCCCAAAAGGTTCTTGAAGTGCTGTTTTAATAAACAGAAAAAAAATTCATATTTAGCACCCTATTTGTTTATATGCAAATGACTGAATACACTGTCTTAGCAGGTAAACATCTCCTCCCTTGTAATATTACTTATCCAATTAAATTCCACAGCAACCCCCTCTTTCTTTGGATTGTGAAACACGTGTTCAAATCAGCAGACATTAGAAAGTATCCAAATTAACAAAGTAGATTTGGACTGTGCCGTCATCGAAATGACTCCCACGTGTGGCAAGTTTAGGAGAGCCAGAGGGAACGTGGGACGTCTTCCCCCAGGCCGCCAGGGGCTTCGGATCAGACCTTTCTAATGTAACCTTGAGCTCAAGTATTCTGTCACTCAATAAAAGGGCAACCGTTTCTGGTTACTTTTCTCTCCTTTCGTTAAAACTTATCTGGTTTCAACAGAAAGAAGCTCAGAGAATCGCTGTCTCCTGGGTCTACGTCTGAAGGCACCGCACTGGGCGTCTCGAAAAATACCTGTACCTATAAAGATTTCCACTGGGCATATTGTTGACATTCTGGTTCATGGATTACGTCCCAACTTAAACGAGATTTTTTAAGTAGAATTTACCTACTGAAAACGGAATCCTATTCTCTCCGTGACAGTCGCAGATGAGGTCTGAGAACAAGGCCAAAAGACTGTCACTGCATTGATCGGAAACCAGTCAATAGGCTGTGTGAATAGAGGTATGGAGTTGGCAGAATACATTTCTGCTACCTGAATCTACGGCTAAAGGTCGGGCTATTATCCCAGTAACAGTTCCATTAGGAGTAATGATGTGAAAAGAGGCATCGCATCAGCGCGCTGGGCTTCCTACCATGTTAATAGTGGGTCATTAAGAATCATAGTACAATAATTTGCATTCAGCTTTAGAATGCAATAGGTTCTAAAAAGAAATTTCCCTCCTTTCCCATTTTAATATATTAAGGGAAAGCGAGGGCTCATTTTAAATGACTCCAAATAATCTGAAAAAGCGGAATAAGGCCAACAATTAAACTAAATAAAAGAGTTAAAGCATCTCCTCTGCTTAACATGATCTGAGGTCCCAAGGCACAGGGAGTATGTTAAGTCACCAGAGAAATGACAAGTGCTCCATCTGATCCATACATGAATAATGACTTTCCCCAGAAGCTGGCATTCATTTGAACCCTGCCCTTTAATTGTATATAAATAATGAATCAGCTTGTGGTGGCCGGGCAGATCCTTCCCTAGGAATGCGGCTTTTCGTGTAATCCTCAGTGAACACGGTGGTACGGAGCGTGTATGACACGCTGGATGTGCCACTCCGAGGACAGGGGGACGGGCCATGCGCCCCAAACAGTGCTCTAGCCACAGAGTAGCTCCTAAGGGATTTTTAATTTGGATTTTTCTGGCTGTCTCTGCTGGACAAAGCAGAATATGGTACGAACTTTGAAAGGAAGTCATTGCGTCATGTAGACACTTTAAGAAGCAGGAGTAGGTCTGAAGAGCTTTCATTTCACCGTGAAATCCTCTAAAAACTCTGGCCAGCAGTGACGGCCCAATGGCAGATATGATGACT